TTTTATTTTTTAGGATTATTTGATTAATATGGAGATCAAAAGAACAGCAGTCATATTAGAAATGTCTTTACTGTCTACAAATAAATAAATAACTAAATAAGCAAGCAAGCCATTTTTTAATACTGTTTTGAGCTAAAAAGATACAGCGTTAAAATTTTCAAGAAAATCAACCTTCATATTAAAATGGAAGAAAATATTTTAACATGGAAAAATTACATTAGCTTTAAAAAAGTCAAAAGGATCAATTCAGGGGTGATTTCATGTTGTCTTTAAAGTGTTATGCATATTTTACACCCATCTGCATTCAGCAGTGTTTCCAGTGTTATCAGGGTTTCTTTTGTTAACTTGTCTCCTTTAGATCATTGTACCCTGAAGCTAAAAAGATGCAGTATATAATGTGTGGTGGGTTTGGCCACAGTGCTCTTTTAATGAAGAAAACTCCAGGCCTCTGAGTCTCACCTCAGGGCTGATCTAAAATGTCAGGCGGAGAGTTATGAGCGTAGATTCATGTGATGCTTACGCACATGCGTGCTCATACACATGCTTGAGTGGGGCTAAGAATAGCTTTCGGATGGATGGGTGGGAGGCTGCGCAGCCCAGCTTAAGATGAAACCATATCACATCAGTGTCCGGATTCACTCGTGTCAAAAAGGCACATCCCAGAGATAGGGGGCGGAGCCAATCTGTCCGACCATATAGTGCTTAGAACGCAGGGTTAAGTGTCCCGTCTCATCTGAACCGACACAATTGTTGTTCATCGGGGCTGATTTGTAAATTTGGACAGTCATATTGTAATTTGCTTGTGGTGGATGTGACATCATAACTGTGACATTGTCTAAATGAGACATTTTGTATCTTTGTTTCAAATAAATGGTCTGTGTGGAGTGAGCTTTGCAATTATAATACACATGATATATTAACAATACACTGTGAATTAGCTAACAATGAACGACTGTTTAGTTAACGACATTAACTAACATTAACAAAGATACTGTAATACATTTATTGTTCATGTTAGTTAATACATTAACTAACATTAACTAATGGAACTTTATTGTAAAGTGTTACCGTTTTGTCTTTATTACATTTCATCATAATTGTTCTGCCATTTTGACCCAACAGTGTTTCGGGAGACTCCATTCCATTCCATTCTCCAGTCAGTTCTTAGTAGATAATTGAAATTGTTTTTGTTGAATGCTGTTTAGCTCAGAAATTCATCACATTGTGCTTGTAACATTACCGTATTGGCCCGAATATAAGACGACCCCCCCTTTTTCCAGATGTACCTTTTGGAAAAAGGCTTTTTAAAAACCAAATCTTGTTTTTTCTCAGTAAAACACATTTTGTCTTCAATTATTTTCATATTGCATATTTTTCCTATTTTAATTTTTGTTTTGAAAGTATGGTAAAAACTGGTCAAATGTACCAACAATCACATTTAAAAAATATACACTTTTTGATATACCATTTAAAAAAAAAAACAGGGATCCCATCTGAATTAGGACATTTAGGCTATCCATCTAATAGTAGCCTACCAAAATCTTATTAACAGTAGAAGTTAAATCTTATTGTAGTCTTCAAATCTGGGTACTGTCTTACGTTTTAAAATCACAAAGGGAGTTTGGTCCCATCAGGCTAACGTGACAGTCACGACTCATGCAGCAGTAAGGTTTTTTATTTTTATTTTTTTTAACTCGCAATCTTTACAACACGCATTACATTATGTATTTCATGGCACACTCATTTTATGCGTATTTGGCACCACCTATTGTTGTGGGTGTATTATTGACATGTCAAAGTCTAGACCCTGAATATAAGACGACCGCGTTTTTTCAGATGTATTTCCAAGAAAAAAACATCGTCTTATATTCGGGTCAATACGGTAGTTGGAGATGCTGACTTGGATTCCTTCCAGCCTAGTTTATCAGTCTGTAATCTGTTTACCATGGAATAAAGCAACACACATTAGCAAAGTGCTAAATTGCCCGTTCATTTGTATTAGTGGCCTTGTTCTGCAAGTATTTTTTCCATTCATTTTTCCATAGGGATTTTTAAAAAGTCTTCATTAAAGAGTTATAAGCCATTAGCCACAAGGTGAACCACAACATTACAAACTTAGATTTGACGCAAAAAAGCATTTAAAAATAAGACAAAAAGATAAAGATAGGCGTGTGCCAATTCGCAAACGTATGCACTATTCTGAGAATTCAGAAAAGAAAAAGGTGCACTTCAAATGATGGGATGGTGCACTTAATTGGAAAAACGAAAAGTGGAATGTTGGACACCTCCTGCACTCAACTGGCACAGCTTTAATTATGTAGCGGAGGGGGAGGAGCTATAAGACTATGATGATAAATGACAAAATAACCTTAATTCATTCACTACACGGTTGAGTACATAGTGCATCATATATATACAGTGGGTATGGAAAATATTCAGACCCCCTTAAATTTATCTATATATGTTATATGTAGTGTTTTTTGGCGCATTTTGCTTGTTGGGATTCTCCGATTGGTGGAGATTTCTTTGCAGAATCATGAGTAATGTGGCTTTTCATCAGGAATTGATCTGTTAAACATGATTATTTAAAAAAAAACACATACCATTGATTAACAACCTCATACCTCACAGCAGGTATGTTTTCAAAGGTTTTGGGGGGGTTTTACTTCCAGAACCTGACTGTTGCATTAGAATTAATGTAAACCGCTTCAAATGTGGCTTAGCAAATCAAAATTTTGAGTTGTGTTGTTATACAAATAGTGGACTAGTAAAGCAACATTTACTGAAATTTAAATCGGAGCATCAAAATGGTCATGTGGTTTGACCTATCCAGGTGTTTTGTTCATACTTCCTCACAGATCCTCATTTTTTAAGATTAAAATATAATTTACCAGTCATTAAATAGATTTTAACTGAACATTGGGTGAATTTCATTTGAAAAAGGTACTGTAGCAGTACAATGATGGCAGTACTTGTCATATATTCCCTGCGTCTTGGACTTTTAGTTTGTAGTTCTGTGTTTTATTGTTGCCTTGTTTCCCTGTTGTTTCCCTGCTGCTCTGTTCTCTTGTTTGTTGCCATGGAGACTCATTGGACCACTCCCATCTTCTTGTTAGTTACCACGGTTACTCATTTTCTCATTCTTTCAGCTCTGTGTATATATAGCAGTGTTTCTCTTGTGCTTTGTCAGTCAATGGTCTTACTACTTGTAAGCTGTTGCGTTCTCCTTTGTTCCCTGCCTTTTTTTTTGTGTATGCTTGTTGTTTTTCTGTTAAATTAGCTGCATCTAGATCCTCGTTTCTCCTCGTCCTTTCCTACACGTGACAATACTATAGAAATACTATATATACTATAGAAAGATTACCGTGTGATATATAGTAGATATATGTGCAAGGCTGTGCATGCAGAGACACACATATGCTTCATGCATGGACTCCTCGCGGCCCTGCTTGAGTTAGTTAATGTGACAAGTCTTAAGTAACCGAGCGTGCTGTGTGGGAGGATGAGCGGTGGAGGGAAAACCTCAGTGTTCCTTCAAATACGCACCAACTGTGGTGAGCTGACTAAGAGCAATAGCTTTTAGCTGGAATCTAAACTGGATTAAGAAGACTTTCAGATAGTGTGAGATTAGATATGTCGTCATGTGTTAATGAAATTGATGTTCATAAAGGTGTAACCTAATCACAGAGCACGCTTGCTGCAGAGAGTGATGGTGTGAAGATGTGAATTGATACAGTCTTTCTATTGTCAATCTATATTGGCTACAAAGCTCTGGGATCAACTGCAGGTCATTGAAGTTAAAGGGGCGATAGCATAGTAAGAGATACATCCCTGTGCAGTCAGCCATATCCACTAAATAAAGCTTAAAAGCCTCTATCCAACCTGAGTGCACATCTATACACTCTGTAGAGGATGACTAAGGGCAGATACTTGCTGGTGTTTGCCAAGGCAAAGTTCCTGGTTCAGTGACATGACTTATTTTTTGTCCGTGCATTACAAATACATAATCACTTGAAAACACCTCTTCTAGCCCTACTGAAAAAAAAAAAAGTTAAAACCAGCCTAAGCTGGTTGGCTGGTCTTAGCTGGCTTGGGCTGGAAGTAGCTGGTTTTAGCTGGTCTCCCAGCCTAGCCAAGCTGGTTTTCTGACCAGCCTGACCAGCTAAAGAAGTGGTCAAAACCCATCTAAAACCAGTCTGCACACCAGCTATGACCATCTTGGGCTGGTTTCAGTTTTTTATTTCTAAATTCAGAAATGTATTTTGCTATTATTTTGGGTGGCACATAGTCAACAATGTCAATTAGATGTGACTGTCCTGATATGATATCGAAGAAAAAAAATTTCTTTTAAAAAAAAAATCATGTTTTAAACCCTCGTGATGTGTCATTTTGACCCTGAGAGGAGTTTATTTTTCCGGAAAATGCTATTAAAAGTGTTTTTGCATTGGACTAAAACTTAATGTATTTTCTCTCACAGGGTACAAAAACTTACTTATTTGTTTTTTGTTTAGTTTTTTTGGACTTTTGCAAGTTTTTTCCCCCCCACCATGTTACACTTTTGGTGCTCCTGGTCAAAAATGGCTGGCCTACAAAATATCTCTTATATATTTCTTATGTTATATTACCAAATATTGGATTCAGTCTTTTTCATCAACATGTTTCCTTTCAATTAGAACAGGTTTTGTATTTCTTTTATAACTGATTGATTGCAAACCTCTTTAATCTGAGTTTATGCACCTCAGTAAATATTGGCTAAAAAATGGCGAAATTCATTACAAACAACTTCATTAAGGTCTTTTTATGGTTTAGTCTGTAAAATATCAGTGTTGTGACTCCTTAAAAACTTGAATATTTATGGATTAAGAATTCACAATATCTGTAAAAATGAAATAATAAATAAATCAATAATCCCAAAATGTGAATGTTTTTGTTTGTCCTCTGATATAACCAATCAGAAATGATATATCTGTTATCTAATGTGTTTTCTTGTGTCTCTGCAGGGCGAATATCGATGAAGTCGAGACTGATGTTGTGGAAATAGAAGCCAAGTTGGATAAGGTATGAACTCTATTTGACATAACTTCATTTCATTTGATCAGTGTCTTCTTTGCCTGTTTTATTGAGATGTAGGTTTTAAGGCCTTCGTGCTCAGCTAACTAAGCACCAGCGCATTAGCGCCTAGATAAAGCAGCATAACAAATGTGCGCCGAGCTAAATCCCAGCTCGTACGCCATACAGGATTAAGGGAAATGGAGAGAGGAACCCATTTAGCACTAGAATGCTGAACATTTGCATCAGGGAACTGCAGTCATACTACAGCGTGTTAACAGAAGCTTCCAAATCTACATACGAGGGCAATGTCTGCTCATTATTGCAGGTTCATTGCATAAGAAAAAGCACAGACTTTTAATTAGCATGAAATCAGTGTAAAATGCTCAAATAAAATCAAGGCTAAGATGCCTGTGTGCGTACATACACCAGCATTTTAAAGGTAGCGCAAACTAAATGCATGATCGCCCAGCCCTTTGACAGACAGATATTCAACAAATAAACAGGCTAAGCTTTCGTTGGCTAAGCTAGCATATCAATATTCTTGAAATGTATTGTCGAAGGCTTTACATTTATAACAAAGGGTGCTGCTTTGACGGCTAAAACGAAGGCAATTCTTTTAAAAAAAGCAGCTTTTAGCATGCTAGCATTCGCTGAGAATAAAGCACAACATGATAGAGTCGAAAGTTTTATCTCTTCATTTGCTGCTAAAATTGTAAATAATAATAATAATAATAATAAAATAAAACAACATTTGGGTTCTTGAGCTGTAGAATTGCATGGAATGTTAACATGTCGGTGAACTTTTTTTGAAATCTCTCTTTTATTAGCATTAGCCACATACAAGCTGATTCAGAGCAAACTTACATATATTTTCACTGCCATATGTGCTACTCGTGACCATTTTAACATTAGCTCATTGTGTATTTTGTAATTGTCCATTTACATATATATTAATGGTGCGTTCAAGTCATGTCGGATAGATCGTATTTACGAGTTGAACACACATGAACGCCACCACAATGTTGTTATTATGAGTGGGAAACTCGAAATTTTCTTTAAGCCCCAAGTTTCCGAGTTGGGTGCGTGTCAATGAGAAACATGGCGGAATCCATGGATGCAACGTCTGTAGTTGACGGTAAATTTTTGTTTAAATTGATAGTTTAGTTGTCCTATAAACTTAAATTGGTCATGTTCTTGTTACGCAGCTGAAATCCAAGTAAAAAAAATGCAGACCCTGTTGTATTTTCTTGTAATTTATTAAAAGAAGGTACACCGCCATCTTGTGCCGACTAAACTGACTTGAACGCACCTGACGTCGTAATTACGACTTGTCAACTCGTAAGTACGAATGTCCCAGGAGGCCTTGAACGCAGCATTAAAAAAAGAAAGAATTCAGCCTAGCATTAGGATAGCATAGCATTAGCATTTAATGAGGAAGCATAGCATAACAATATAGAGGATGACAAAAAGCACATCAAACAAATCATGCTTAGCCTTTTTGACTTCTGTGGGCTCCATTAGACTTTTTTTGATATTGTTTTTAGGCCTGAACTGTAAAGGTTAAGTGGTTAATCAAAATTATTTTGCTCAAAAAATATAATCATGGTTATTAATTATTAGTATTGTCATTTTAAAAAGATTTTTTACATTTCATCAGAATTATTTGAGAACGTCAAATACGAAAGCTCGCATGATTTGCTCAGTTACAGCAAACAGCGCAAACGACCATGTGAAAGAAAACAGACTGGCTTGTATTACATTTTTATTTGAAAAACAATATCTCAGTAGAGATCTTTTCACCTTATCAGCATTTTTCTATAAGAAAGAGCATGGTTTCTAGGTTGGGAAGATTAAGTAAACTATTGGGCAGAAAATGTATCGATTTAAGAGAAAAGCTTGTTTTCAGGATCAACAACCAGTGGACAAATATTGTAGAGGATTATGCTTAAGAAATTGAGAGAAGCAGAAATCGTGATCGTGATTAAAATGCGACTTCTCTTGCAGCCCTAATTGTTTTAGACAAAAACTTAAATTGGTTGGTTGTACTCTGGCTTCATCCCAAAACACAATCAATGAGAACAACAGCTTGTCTGCAGCCAATAGAGCAGATATTTGTTATGTTTGGCCTTGCATGATGATATTATTAAAGGATTAGTTCACTTCGAGAATAACAATTTCCTGATAATTTACTCACCCCCATGTCATCCAAGATGTTCATGTCCTGTCTTCAGTCGCAAAGAAATTAAGGTTTTTGAGGAAAACATTCCAAGATTTTTCTCTATATAATGGACTTCAATGGGAGCCAACAGACTGAAGGTTAAAAATGAAGTTTCAGTGCAGCTTCAAAGGGCTCTACACGATCCCAGCCGAGGAATAAGGGTCTTATCTAGCAAAACGATCTGTCATTTTCTTAAAGGTCCCCTGAAATGCTTAGAAACACGCAGCGTTACTCGTGTTGACGTCATTTTAACTGAAACGGGAAGACAGGGCGGGACATATCAAGCACCCTTTTTACAATAGCCAATAGCGTTCGTTTATATCACAGCTTGGGCTAGAGCCGTTCAGAGCCGTTGAGCTCCGTAAAGCCACATTTGACAGGGTATGCAAGCCACAATCTCATCCATATTGCTATAAAATATAGCATTCTGTGTAGAATTCAAATAGCCCCGATACATTTAGTTGTCTGCGCCGACTCGCGCATGTGATCCGCTCCGTGCTATCGTGTCTCTGGACCGGAGCAGAGTGTGGTTAGCGTGACACGGCACAAAACTAGACTTCTTTTTTTCCTCAATGGAAAGCATAGTTACACTGTTTGAATCGTTCCCTGTCCCCTATATAGTGCATTACGTGCCATTCACTGTACAGAAAATACTCATTCTGTGGACAAGTGACCGATTTCAGCGGCGGCTTCAGTGTCTATTTTATAGTGCAGGGGGTGGGCGCTTCGGATACTAAAGAGCATTTGATTGGACAGAAATTTTGATGAGAAGCTGAAGTACGATGTGACGTCAAAAAAAATCGTTGAGCCGTTTTGGCGGAAGTGACGAACTGCAAGCTTTGAATGCTTATATCTTCTAAATGCGAATTTTGTCACTGTTTTGGAGCACACTGCCTTATAGATAACCTTAAGACTAACATATTGATACTAACACCCAAAAAACTTTAATTTTGAGTTCATGGAGACTTAAAAAATTTTTTATATACTTTAACCACAAATGCTCATCTTGCACTAGCTCCATGATGCGCGTGATTCATGCATGACGTAATCACGTTGGAAAAGTCACGAGTGGTAAATCCGTTTACTCTGGTTAAAAAAGGTCACTCAATCTCATTTTCTCCTCCAACTTCAAAATCGTCCGATATCGTTGTTTTTGACTTTCTTTGCACGTTCGCTTTGTAAACACTGGGTCGGTACTTCCGCCTACGTCAAGCGTGGCCTTTCCAACGTGATTACGTAATGGGTGAAGCTGAGCTAGTGCAAGAAGAGCATTTGTGGTCAAAAAGTATATACATTTTTTCTTTTTTTTAGAAAATGACTGATCGTTTCGCTAGATAAGACCCTTATTCCTCGGCTGGGATTGTGTAGAGCCCTTTAAAGCTGCATTGAAACTGCAATTTGACCTTCAGTCCGTTGGGTCCCATCAAAGTCCATTATATAGAGAAAAATCCTGGAGTGTTTTCCTCAAAAACCTTAATTTCTTTGCGACTGAAGAAGACAGAAAAACATGAACATCTTGAGTAAATCATCAGGAATTTTTTTATTCTAGAAGTGAACTACTCCTTTAACTTCATTATTTTCTTTAATTGCTCCTTAATGTACAAATATATAAATGTTTTCGTTTGATGCCTGTAAAGCAATCCTGTTCTCTCATCAAAAGACCAAAAATCACAATGCAGTCAATATATAAACTCAAGTCCCATCCACCATTTGTTTTTTGTTATATATCCTATTCCTGTATATTCTGTTTCTGTCCATCAGCTGGTGAAGCTATGCAGCGGTGTGATCGAAGCAGGTCGTGCGTACATCAGTGCCAATAAACTCTTCATCAACGGCATTCGAGACTTGTCTCACCACTGCAAAAAGGAGGAGATGATCTCGGTAAGCTTCCCAGACAAGTGTTTCTTTGTAAATGACTCGGGTAATAGTCAGACCTTCATGAGCTGTGTTGATTTTTCAATTATTTGCTTCATTTCAGGAATGTCTTGAAAAATGTGGCGAGAGCCTTCAGGAAATCGTCAACTATCACATGGTAAGACGCGTTTTCAGACTCGCTCTGCATGGCAACATGCACAACAAAACACACATGCACACGTTTCAGTCAGAGGCCATAATGATTCATCATGTGTTATCATAACCTGGCGAGGCCTGTAGTTCTCTCATGGGTGCTTTTATTATTAAACCAGATTACGTGTGCTATGGGGCGTAACTCAACCCAGAGAACATGGATCTCTTTACACGGGGTGTTTCACATTATATGTGGTTGATTTTTTTATTTGTTTCCCACACATGCCACCCAAAAGCCATTTGCAGAATCATAAAAGTGCACAGGCCTGTGTTGAGTTTTTAAATGTTTGACCTTTCTGCCACATTCAATGAGAAGCAAGTATAACTAGTACAGGAAATGTTTAGGAACTAAAGATGAAATGGGAATCGGAAATGTTGCAAGCTGGATTCGAACTTGCGTTGGTCTCATGAGCACCAATGTAAAGTGGTTTGTACATGTGAAACCATTCATTCTAGTGGGTGACTAATCACATATAGTGGTTAATCTGAGACTGAGTACGTCATCGTACATCGAGTTTTTGGGTGTTTTCCTGTTCTTGAGGATGGTGTAATTGAAAACAGAGACAGAGTGGCAATCGGTGTGCAAAGCTCAACAAGTCTGCTGTTACTGCAGCCACCTTCACTTTTAAAGAAAGAGGAAATAGCAGGGCTGTGGAATAAAGGACTTGTGGCTTTTTCATTGTCAGCCAAAGACTGCTGATCTCTTTCTGCTTGTAGCATCAGCAGCATTTGAACAGAAACAGGTCGACGGTTCCTTTAGTTTCTTTGACATTCTCGCTGCTTTTATGGGTAATTAGACTCAGTTTGTTCTTGTGATAAACAGTTTTTGTGAGACATGACTGTGGTGAACACTGAATTCCTGGACTTTACCAGAAAAACGTCAAGGTCACACCCTCAAAAGAAAGTTGGTGAAAACCTTTCACTTCACACAAGTGGCATTACAAAACAATCACAAATTTAGTATCAAATGCAAGTCAAATTGGCTCACCAGTTGGCAGTTTTAGGAATTTGAACATAATAATATAATATATAAGACTATTATTTAATTTTTATTATGTCTAATTATTTCCTTTTTTTTTTTGTACTGTTTTTTTAATGTAAACAATTGTTTGTTTGTTTTTTAAGTTAAATAGTAAAAACTAATTTTACTATTTTGGACTTATTCCTGATTTTAAAATCTTGTTAAATAATAAAAATAGCTTGTAAAATTGAATAAAAGTGTTAAAATTATTTGAAAAAATTAATAATGAAAAATACAATTTCTTTGTGGTAAGAAATATTTCTGACAGGCAGTAAGTGCCAGGTGAAGTTAATTTTGTTTAGCATGGCGCTTACTGCCTGACAGTCTCGTTTCAGTATTATTTATACTATTATAGTATTAATTCATATTTTGAATTAGCTTTAATTTTAAAATTTTCAGTTTTCATTTAAATTTTACTTGTAGTAATTTTATGTGCTTTTGTCATTTTTATTAGTTTTTGTTTTTTAATTTCTATTTAGCTTAACTTTTTTATTTCAGTTTTAATTTGAGTCATTTTAGTACTTCAACTTAAATATATTTTTTTCCAGTTAGTTGTTCATTTTCATAAAATTTTTCATCTAATATTTGTATTTTATTTTTTATTTTATGTCAGCTTTAACAAAGTAACGGAAACTATTTTGAATACTTATAGTTTTAGTTAACGATAACAACACTGCTTCTTGATTGTTACACACATTCTTACACAGGAGTGTAAGCAGTTCTCTGTTCATCCGTGTCACCCAGAACAGCTGTCTGTCTATGGGAGGAACGACAGATGAAGCCTGTGTGAATGTGAAGAACATTACTTCAGTTCACTTATCTTGTTCCTGCCCTCTCCTGTTTTTCTCGGGTCAAAGCTGTTAACCTGCCACTCTATAAATCTGAAGTCTGGCCATTTTACTCTGGATCTAATCTGCCTGCCTCATAAATCCAGGACACCCATCGCTTCCAAGTCCCTGGATGCTGTGAATCAATGTATCTAGATGGTCTTGGACAGATTTATTTATTTTTTTAAATGAAGATTCATTGACACTTTGAGTTTTTGTCTCTTATACTTCTTAATCCAATAGTCATATGCTGCAGACTAGGGCTGTCAAAATGACTGAAAAACTAAATTCGCATTTTGTACTTGAATATTATCAAAATTCGAATTATATTCATAATGCATAATTTCAGTCAGGGTGAAGAAAAGCTTTTGGCTTCTCTCCTGAGGCCACAAGAGGGCGCATCGAGCAAAATATTACTAATGCAGGTTTATTCAAAGCATAAGATAACATGACATAGGGCTGTTTAGAACACAGGGCTCTTTTGTGCGAGACGCGAGTGCAATGGTGATAGATGTCCCTCTAGAAAATGCGCAAAATATGCGTTCTGTGTGAACGTCTTGGTTTCGGTTTTGATGTAAACCAGATCTTCTCTGCATTGATGTTCTCTTTTTCCGCTATATTTTTAA